GGTCATATTTGCGGGTCCCGTCACAACTGGCCCGTCAGCTCAGCTAAAAAGACGCCAAACGAGGTTCTGCCGTCCTTGCGCCGCCCTGTACATGTTCGCATAATACAACTGGCGCGAGTCCATTTGGCGCCATTTACTTCCAGAAAGATCAGTAAATTACCCCCTGCTAAAGGTTTTTTCATAGTAACAAAATTTGACGCGCCTGTGCCGCGACGAATTTTTGTATAGCTGTGGGCGATGGAAAAGTCCATTTTTGGGTATCATAATCTATGTGTACCTTGAGTGTTGCCGAGCTGTGGTAGGTCAAAGTTAGACCATGGCTGTCAGCATAGAGCAATTCATAGGGAATCGTTCAATATAATGCAACAAGGCAGTGTAAGACAAAGTCACACAACTGTGAGATGTTCAATTAAATCCAGATGACCTTCCCTGCAACACTTTGTACGTTTTAGTTGTCCAGATGTATTTTGAAGTGCATCTTAAATTAAGACACGACCCTAGAACCGCGAGCAGGTAAGGGAACGCTTGGGCGGTGGGAGGCCTTTGAGCTGTCAAAAGCCGTCTGTTCGATAAACAAGAACCTGAGTGCCCAGATGGTTGTGAGGATACAGCTAAATGGCTCTGGCGACCGGACAAGTCACTGAACAGCCAGTGAATCTCCAAATATGCAGATGAGCCCTTAGGTGACCAGAAGGACCCTGAATAATCAGATGTGCCCATTGGTTACCGGAAGAGCCCTGCACGGCCAGCGAAGCCCTAAGCAGTCAGAGGAGAACGCCACTGGCCAGTGGCTCTGCAGTGGCAACGGCCCAAAAGCGGTCAGAGAGACCTTGAGTACGCAGGGCATTCAACGGACAACGTGACCCCTGAGCGGTCAAAGATCTCTTGGGTAGTCCCGAGGTGCTCTTGGTGTTCTGAAGAGACTTTGAAGGGCCAGAGGCCCCTGAGTAGCTACAAGCGCCCTTAAACTCCCTGGTGGCCAGAAAGGACCCATGGAACGATAGGAGGAGCCCAGAGTTGCCACATACGGCCTACTGAGCACCTAGATGGAGACTGCTGTACTGTATGAACTTAAACTCTGGCAAAGAAACTCTTTTGGAGTGCTCCGCATTCAACACAACAATTTTTGGCATGCTGTGTGAGCCGAAAAAATCCGTCTCAAGCGAACGTCTCAAACTTGGACGCCCGGACCACGCATGTTTCTTAATTCATCGGCCCGGGCGGGGGCGTACCCACCGACTCCCCACACAATCTCCAGCCATGGTATTGTGCACGCAAAGCAAAGAATGCACCCAAGGGCCTATTTCCCTATCTTCGCCGCATGGAGCTTGGAGAGCGTCATATATCGGGGGCCTGCTATGAAGGACATTTTTAATCAGCAGGAAAGATGTACCGGTTGTAAACTTAGCCAAGCAGCATTTTGTTCGGCTGCGCTGGACACTTCAACAGACCCGTAAGAATAAAACGGAACAGAACATGTCGTATGCTCGGGGAGCGAAGACAGGAAGGTTCGTGGACGGACTTCACTGCACCGCAAAGCATACATGTCATGCGGTGCAGTCTGACACCACATTGTTCGCACGCATCTCGCCCCTAAACGCCGCAGTCACCACGCCGGGCTTGTCACCGCGCAATCCGTCAACCATTCACCCACCTCTCAGGCACAGCCCAACGATCCCCCAAAGCATGGATGAATACTGAGTCAGTTTGGCACAGGAACGTCGTGAGCCGGCTTTATTATTACGATGGCGGGATGAAATACCAAAGGTATTAAATGTCGCGTCCAAGCTTCAACCAGAACGCTGAGCTGTACCTACATAATGCATAGCGCAACAATAATAGTCAAACCGAAAACATTTTCGAAAATCGACGTGCTCAAAGTAGGGGTAATGACTCACTTCCGAAATTGCTGGTCATGCGTAGCGTCGCTGAATGAGTTCCTCCAGCTTTCCTTGACCTTTTTACATGACGCAAATTTGTCATTTCATGAAACGCAGATAGCGGATGAGAATAACCCCGGGCAATTGTTTTTATGCTGGAGTTCTTTTAATGTAATTAACAAGCGCTCATTTGCGTCCCCCATTCCCGGGGATTTCGGGGCTGGTGACAAAAAAGCTCGCGCATACACCGTACCAAGGCCCCACGCCGTCATTAAGGCTTTACGACGCACTCAGCTGCTGAGCTATATGGCGTTGCCCGTCTCTCACCCTGGCAGGAAGGGCTGGTGCCGCGGGGAACCGAACCCCGAACCTCTGGTTTTCCAGACGTCCAGTCACGCGGTCGCGTTAACCACTACACTTTCGGCGTTCCCAAGTTTGTTCCTTTAGCCCAGTGGAACTGGTTTCCTCTAAGTCTTGGTGTCATTTCCAGTGCTTATTTATTTTAGTGAATACAACCCCAAGGCTATAAATGTATCCTTATACTCTAGGTTGCCAATTCCACTTATCATTCTGGCTGTTTTCACTGCACTCTCTCCAGCCGATGTATGCCTTTTTCGAAGCATAGGTATCAAGCCTGTACACAGCACCCTTGGTGTAGCCTGACATAAGATGAGTACAAGTTTTTAACAGCATTCCTACTCCTGTAATTATTATTCCTGTCAATACGTCCCAACATCTGAAGTGGTTTGCTACTAACAGCTCCACATTGCCTTTCACCCTTTATTTCCCTGGAAGTCACAAGCCCTAAGTTATTTTTTTTCCATTTATTCTATCTCCCGGCGTCTCAATTTATAGCTAACGCCTTCAGTGCCAAAGCTGACAAAGTGCATCAACTCACGCTAACCGTAATTGATCTGCCACAGAGAAATTCAGGTCACTAGTTCCTCTAAGTCAAGTTGAATTTGGTTCGCTGGTCGATATTTTTCAACACTCCTGGCAATTAAATGCCAGCAGAGTTTAGCATTTTGTTCTCCAATCCTATCGCAATATCACTTTGAGAAATGGTAACGAGCAAGGGGTCAACACCGGCCCCTGTGGAACTCCACTCTTCGTTAGTTCCCGCTGGGACATTGTATCATTGAACATTACTCTTTGTTGCTTACCTAGCAGCCAACTCCTTACCGAGCCATCAGTCCCCCCCCCCCCCCCAATGCCATGCATCTTTAACTGATGAAGCAGACGCTGGTGTGGCACGTTTTCACACGCCTTACTAAAACCGAGATAAACAACGTCTAAATTATTGCCTTCATCCATCCGACTAGCAACATGAGCTCTAATGGATTCGTCAAACAGGACCTACAAGAAAGAAAACCATGCTGACTACTGTTTATCGACTGTTGCCTATCCAAATGTGACGGAATGCTAGCCTTAACAAATTTCTCTAAGATCTCACATCCTAGTGAGGTTAAAATAACAGGCGTGTTGTGGCTGACACTTTTGTTGTCCTCTTCTTGAATATCGGTATTACAATGCCATTGCGCAGGTCCTCGGGTACTTCTGAGCAGCTCAATGACCTATTAAATATCAACATAAGAGAATAAGCCAAAGTACCAGCGCTTTCATTAAGCACTCTGCCACATATGGTGTCAGGTTCGGCCGCCTCATCAAGTTTGATTTCCTTTAAGCTATCTCTCACCCTCGGTCGCACCACGGAGATCACGCAAAGTATCGTTTGTGAAAACTGAAGAAAACTGCCCGCTGAGAGCATCCACAATATACCTGTCCTCCACTTCTGACTTTCTATCTTCTTTGAGGGGATGACAGAGGATCCCCTGTCATTCTCGTTGGATGAAAAAACATCGTGAATCTGAGCAGTTGGCGTTTGTAAATATGTCAAGAGACGCGGTAGCAAGTGTTTCCAGAAAACCGTCGAACGGGACAATAGCAGCTAGCGATGGGCCTGCAGTGTGTTTGTTCAGGTTAGCCACCTTGGAACACCTGCAAAAATCATCTTCTCCATACCGAACAAGACCCCTGATCTCTAACCACATTAACACCATCACCATGGAGAAGGCGTTGCCAGCTCTATGCAAGGTGCTCCTTCGCATTCATCAGCAGAATGTTCGCCAGCAAAGATGGATCAAACGGATGGGGAAAAGGACCAGGCACTACGAGTTCACAAGAATGAAATCCTTTTACTAGGGCTAATGTACGGCATTTCAGTTTGGGGGGAGAGGTAGGGGGGGGGCGATAACAATTTCGTTATTCCTTTTCAGTTAACGCCCAAAGGTCAATGGTCCGCATTTTTGGATACCCTCATCAGTTAAATACCGTCAGAAAATTTCAGCATCTTGCAAAGTGGTACGCACTTCGCCGCTTGGTGCACTTGACAATCGCTGACAATGGACATGGCCTCTGGAGTATTGACATTTTGTGACTGCCAGCGCCTGACCCGTGGTTACGTCACCGTAAGACCTCTGATAGTAAGAGGGGCTTACCTGTAGCCCACAACACCGGTGAAAACTCCCCGCGCTGTACATGGCGTAAGGTTTTAGATGTTCGGCATCCTTGCAGGACAGCTTTCGCTACGCGCTTGCTGTCAGTATGTCATCTGTGACACTTTTGTGTACGCCGAGCCTATATACCACTTTCTCAGGCCCGATGCTCAGAGAACTGCCCCGATGACCCAGGGCGAGGCTGTGCTCTCGGGGAGGGACCCGGACCGAAGAGCCTGTCGGAAGGCAGGCCGTGCCCGTGAACCCCGCGTCGCGGGCTCTTGTTGACATAGCATTAGCCCGCGGCAGTCCCCAGTTGCCGCTGTCTGCTCGGTGAAACCGGTCGAATAAAGGCCTTCCGAAGTCAGGCTAGCATCATGGTCCCTTACCAAAACAGTAAAACGCACATAACTGTGTTACACCGACGTGGTTTGCTTCCCCCGGAGTGCTGAAACCCGAAAGAGCTTTCGTGCCCATGGTTCATAACGTGAATAATTCAGTGAAAACCAGAACGTTTGGATGCTGATGCGCACTATTTCATGCCCTCATAATGGCAAAGACTGCACTCATGTCACACCAAAGTGGGTACCCTCATTCTGAATCTCCTCATTCACTTCTAACTCACCGTGGCGGGAGTGGCTGCCAGGCGGGCGCTGCCCAGATACCAGGTCAGGAGAGCCGGGGGTCGTGACCCGACACACTGGCACACCAGCTGGTACTGGCGGCCTGCCGAGAACGGCTCGCCCTTGCCCAGGATCGAGACGCTCAGCGGCGCGACTGAAACCACACAGGACAGACGGTTACCGGTAAAATGTAGCCGCGGCTAGTACAACAACACTTCTTGTAACAGGCTGGTAATTAAAGCCTAACGCTACTGCTACCGCTTCCGAAGCATTGTTTTACAACTTTGTTTTGAAGAACGGAGAACAACGTAGGTTGTTTCTGTGTCTTCGAGGGAGCGCGTGTAATTGCAGATGGCTAAACAGTCGCCAATGTCCAAGTTTCGGGAACGAGGTCGGACACTGAGCGTTGACCACATCCAACATGATATGGGAAGCAAATAAAAGCTGTCGTTCAATGATCATTTCCAGGACACGCGATCAGCGCCGCACGTGTCGTCGACGTCCATGTCCACTGCCGTGCGCTGCAGATCAGCGCCACACATGTCGCCGCTGTCCATGTCCGCTGCTATGTGCTGCAAATCAGCGCCACACATGTCGCCGCTGTCCATGTCCGCTGCCGTGTGCTGCAGATCAGCGCCACACATGTCGCCGCTGTCCGTGTCCGCTGCTATGTGCTGCAGATCAGCGCCACACACGTCGCCGCTGTCTATGTCCGTTGCCGTGTGCTGCAGATCAGCGCCACACACGTCGCCGCTGTCCGTGTCCGCTGCCGTGTGCTGCAGATCAGCGCCACACACGTCGCCGCTGTCCTTGTCCGCTGCCGTGCGCTTCAGATCAGCGCAGCCCACGGTCTGAGCGAGCCCGTCACCTGCCCGGCGGCCTCCGGCACCACTGCCATCACGGCTGCAACGGCTCTGAAGCTAGGCCACGAGTATTCGTTCGAAGCCGCTTAAGTGCAGCGCACGTTTCTGTCCTTTATTTCTGCCCGGGGGTAAATGGGGCGCGCACAGAAGTGCGAGGTGCGGTGTGTCGTGCACGCTACACGCCGTGTAACGGTGTCATGTGTGACCAGCAGGATAGCAGAGCGGGGCTGCTGGTTCAGCTCCCTGCACTGGTCTGAGTCTGCCCTCCCCAGCACGGCACTCTGGTCAGCCATATGTGCTGGAGAGCCTCGGTAACCGGCGGAGGCGAGGGTAGGGGTGAAAAACCCTCTGATTTAACGAATATGATCGGTGACAAAAACTTCCACTTTTTCAAACCAACTGGTGACGAAATTGCGAAAACGCAAACAAACCTAATTAGACCAGACCATATTACAACTTACTATACTTTACTATACAACTTGCTATCCTTACTATACTAGCTAAACGAAACTCAAAGCTTAGTGTTGATCTGTGCTCTTTAACACTTGCAACGTGATCTTTAATCAAAGCTTAGTGTTGATCTGTGCTCTTTAACACTTGCAACGTGATCTTTAATCAAAGCTTAGTGTTGATCTGTGCTCTTTAACACTTGCAACGTGAGCTCGTGTAGAACGCATGTCGAAACGTTGACGTTTCGCTGTACGAGCAAATTGAGCAACAAGATGCTGCCAAACACAGAAGCTTTAATCAGGATAGTTTTCAGCAGGTGCCAGAAATATACCACGGACTGTACTATATCGGGGCTGACGTCACAGATCAGCGGTGACACAGTGTTTTTCCAGTGGGGATCAGATCAGTGCTTTTCGCAGATTTTTCAGCCAAGATTCGTTTCACAAACTAAACAGTATAACATACCAAATAACTAGGCCTTTTACTAGTAAAGATTGTGTCTGGCCGCAGCATCTGGCAACGAACGTAATTAGTTTGCTACGCAGCGTTTTAAAGCGTTTTGCTATTTGAGACAGATGGGTTCGAACGCTCGCCACGCGGTGATACGTCGGGTTCAGTGTAAGGTTGCGGACTGCTGTTAGGTGTGTTGATGTCGTGAGAGGCTGGCTGGATAGAACAACGTAGCTAATCGTCAGCTTTTGAATGTAATAGCGTTAAAAAGCCCTGCCGATCTAGGAGAATTGTTGTTTATGGATACCTGAGCTGTAGCATCAGAGGTAAACGGAGGACTTTGGAGCGACGCATGTCAAAGATTCATTCGGGACATTCTGTTGCTGAGAGTAACAGTGGCTTTGAGGCAAGAGACTGTGCATCACTATTGTGGGCCTCTGATCGGTGGACAGGCCTGAGATAAAACGTTTTTTTTTTATTTCATCATATTGCATATAAAGCTGAATGAAGGTGGCTGAGGTGTTCACAAATATATGCGTCTGTTGATACCAATATTGCATGGGTTTTGCTCTAAATGGTTGGGATCATGCTAGGAACTCTAAGGTCTGCACCCGCAGTGATTATGCGAGGATAGTGAAGGTCGCCTGCGCGCTCAGCTGATTGTACGATGACGTCACAAAATCGAGGGTGATATAGTTGTCAGGCGCTTATAGAACCATGCTGTCGGTAACTACAGGACTACAGGGATGCAGTTTTGCAAAATGCATGGGGTTGAGGGATGGTGGGTGGAGGGCTGGATAAAACAACTGAGCCTGTCTCTAAAATGCACTCGAAAACAGTTTTCCCGGCAGATTTGACGTACTTGCTTTTTACAGTTGGGGGCAGGGGTATAGTTTTTCGAAATTAGTTTGGAGGGGCTAAGCCCTAAAAATCGTGATTAACGAAAAATAATACTTAAAAATTACAAGTAAGAGAAGGAAACCACATCCATGGTTAGGTGGCAAAATCCCCTCCCCCTGTCTGAATAGGAAACTACACGCCTCCAAGCTGGTTATGTCAAGCAGGCCTCTAAGTCTCAACCATCATTCAGTGCTTGATGGCCAGCAAATGATACTTAAGTGCAAATAAACTCCCGAAGCAAAAATATTTGATGATTATGCTGCATTGCATTAAGTTCGCTCTTGTTTGTTTTTTGTTTATTGCATTTATAGTGATATTGCAACAGTCTCTAGTTTCAGTTTCAGCTAAAAGATTCGGCTCCAGATGACAATTTATACGGTTCCGAATTTCGTCGGCGACAGAAAAAGCACTTTCTTTCCTCATCCCTGGATGAGGGCCGCGCACGCTGTTGGTCCAGACCGGTACAGGTTCGTCCGGTGTAGTGGTCGGCTAATGGATGGAGCAACAGTTCCCTCGCGTAACGCATTCAGTGGTAAAAACGGGCGACCGGACCATGTCGGCCTGAAACATAACATGCCTCGCCTAGTGTGGACACGCCAGTACTTCATGTTTTTTTCCAGCAGCTTTATTCCCGTACGCTTCTGGCGCAGATGCCACAACAGAGCGGTGGTCTTGAAGGACGGTCGCGAAAGAATAGCTTTTGCAATACGTGGTTTGTTTGAAATTTTGTCAATAAAAGTTCCTGATGCTAATAAAATGCCATCTTTCCAGATGCACCTAATGCTAGGCTTAGAAACCCTCAGCTCCAAAGGTCACTCGAACGCGTTAAGACACGCAGGATACTTAACTCTAAGGGGGTGTTCCACATTTGTATGGGGGTTTTGAAGTGAAATGGCCATAGTCAAGATAATTCAGTGCAGTTCACAGCCCTGCCCTTCTTAAGTGCAGATTATTTCAAGGTCGCCCAGAAATTCGCGACGTCATAACAATGTAATTCAAATCCTTCCTCTCCGTTAGCTACGCGACAATCAAGCCCAAGGAAAATGCAATTGTCCTGTCGTTTATATCTGGGGTTCAAGAGCACGGTTTCCAGATGTATCGGCCGTTAATTGGCTCTCAATCAATGCTGTACAAGACACGATGACGCAACCAAACATTGACGCATTTGAAAAACCTAAATAGAGAAATATTGTTGTTTAGAACCGTCTTTTCCTCCTAAAAGTATACCAATAGTTAAAAGTGACCTTATCTCATCATATCTGCTATTTGCCTCAATATCTTCAGAGTGGAACATTTCTTTTAAGTTACGGGTCGGTTATATCTGAGCAGATACATTTCCTTTTGTTTGCCAACTAAGTGACGAACCAAACCGCCACAGCTAGACGTTTTAACGTAGTAAAATATAACCGTGTGAAGCAATGAGATGGATGATAATGTGATGTCATAATTGTAAAAACCAGCTTGATTGCGTTCTGCTCAAAATCAATTGAAATGTTGATTCTCAATACTTGAACACTTACTGTATGGCTATGTAGGTATTGCGATCGCGTAAATGATGGCACTTGCGCCCAGTTAATCAGCAATCATTTCCTATCAGCTTTATTGATATTTACATACGTTCAGAAATGACGTCCTCATGCGTGTGTGGATGGAAAGCTTTTATGCAGATACGGGGTTTCCTCACCGCTACTCCGTTGGACGGTTATGCGGCTATTGGTGCACGTACCTAGCTCAACTTACATTTGTACAAGGTCAGGTTAGGTCAGGTTGCCGTAAGTCACGGGACGTTTGCGTCAAGTCCTTTACTTTAAGACTTGCCGTTGGTAAGCAAGCAGGATTGTGAACAAAAGAACTAATCGCAACGAAGGTCTGTCGGCTCCGCAGCTTTTCGTCCTGCTCTAAACTGAGCCGAGGGTTGCTGGCATGGTTTTCTCAGGGGTTGTTTTTTGTGAACTGGGCACACAACGGCCACCGTATTTGTCGTGTTGTGGCACGCATCACACAAGAAAACTGCAGTGTATGCTTAACCAGATTGATCTAAGCTGTCGCTGTTGATTCCCAGATGGTAATTGGTGTTCACGCTTAACACGCGCTCGGGTGGGGGTCAAATTGATCTTCCACCCCCGAAGGTTTTTCCAGAATGGGTTTCAGACGGCGCAGCGTAGCCGCGCCAAATTTTGCAGAGCTGTGGACAATTGAACAGCGGATCGTTTGACATAAAAAATCAGATGTACCTTGTAAGGTCGCTGACCTTGTAAGATCACGGAGTGTTTGACGAAGCCATACATCTCTGAGATGCTTTCTTAGGTACCACAAATATTGAATGAGCAAATTACGCTGACCTAAGGTCAGGTATGAAGGTCACACCAAGGTAACAACCAACCTAATTTATTTCTCTAGGGCTTGCGGTATGGGATAATTTGTGGTGCTCATTTCGAATTTATTGCCAACAGGAACCGCATTTTATCATCTTCAATTGACTTTTAAGAGGTCAGAAAAGGTCATTGATCTAAGATGACTCGGGTCGACAATTTTTTTTAGGAACATACTGCCTAGTGTTATTTTTGTCGCTTATGCAAATGCGAAACTCAGAGCAGTCTTGTATAATTTTGGTCACCATGACCTTCAAAAGGTCAAACAAGGTTACTGACCTCAAATGGGCATTTGACCTTTTGCTTAGAAACAGCTGCCTACGTTCTAGGGGCACTTTAGAGACCAACCTGGAATTTGACCTTGTTTGACCTTATTTGACCTGAAGGTCATGGCCTAGGAAGCTAAAACTTTGACCTAAGTCGGTTCGCGTAAAGGTCAAGATACCCTGTAAATTTTGTTTCTCCAGATTCTTTGTTCCCAGGATTTCAGCGGGATCAAATTGACTCCCCCCCCCCCCACCCAAGCGAAGGGTGGATATTTAGCCGGCCACCCGGGCGTGTTAAAATTTAAAGTTACAAAAACCGAGACATAAATTGTAATTCAACACATATTTTAGATTACCGATAGAAATCCCCGGGAAGTGTAAGGAAAAAATATTTCCCAAGTCTATATACTGTCCCGGTAAATGCACAGTGCAGGACGTCACGGACGAGATTTCCGTTACCAAATCCATTCTCTACCCATGGGGGCTGTGCCCACTTACGGCCATAAAGCCCCCCCCCCCCCCGCGGCCATTTTTCCCCACCCATTACCCATCAGTTTTCCTTTTTCA